CCCCTGACACTTATTGTATTGTCTTTTAACGTGCTAGTGACACCCCTGCTTTTCATTGGGAGGATGTTGCATCGTCTGCCAAGTCTTTTGCTTTCGTTGTGAGTGATTTTCGTGTGCAAGTTCGGTACTAGTCCCCCTAGGATTTTCCAGGTGTATATAATCATGTATCTCTCCCTCCTGCGTTCCAGGGAGTACAGGTTCAGGAACTTCAAGCGCTCCCAGTAATTGAGGTGTTTTATCTCCGTTATGCGCGCCGCGAAGGTTCTCTCTACATTTTCTAGGTCAGCAATTTCACCTGCCTTGAAAGGTGCTGTTAGTGTGCAGCAATATTCCAGCCTAGATAGAACAAGCGACCTGAAGAGTGTCATCATGGGCTTGGCATCCCTAGTTTTGAAGGTTCTCATTATCCATCCTGTCATTTTTCTAGCAGATGCGATTGATACAATGTTATGGTCCTTGAAGGTGAGATCCTCCGACATGATCACTCCCAGGTCTTTGACGTTGGTGTTTCGCTCTATTTTGTGGAAGGAATTTGTTTTGTACTCTGATGAAGTTTTAATTCCCTCATGTTTACCATATCGGAATAATTGAAATTTCTCATCGTTGAACTTCATATTGTTTTCTGCAGCCCACTGAAAGATTTGGTTGATGTCCGCCTGGAGCCTTGCAGTGTCTGCAATGGAAGACACTGTCATGTAGATTCGGGTGCCATCTGCAAAGGAAGACACGGTGCTGTGGCTGACATCCTTGTCTATGTCAGATATGAGGATGAGAAACAAGATGGGAGCGAGTACTGTGCCTTGTGGAACAGAGCTTTTCACCGTAGCCGCCTCGGACTTTACTCTGTTGATTACTACTCTTTGTGTTCTGTTAGTGAGGAAATTATAGATCCATCTACCAACTTTTCCTGTTATTCCTTTAGCACGCATTTTGTGCGCTATTACACCATGGTCACACTTGTCGAAGGCTTTTGCAAAGTCTGTATATATTACATCTGCATTCTTTTTGTCTTCTAGTGCATCTAGGACCTTGTCGTAGTGATCCAGTAGCTGAGACAGACAGGAGCGACCTGCTCTAAACCCATGTTGCCCTGAGTTGTGTAATTGATGGGTATCTAGATGGGTAGCGATCTTGCTTCTTAGGACCTTTCAAAGATTTTTTTGATATGGGATGTTAGTGCTATCGGTCTGTAGTTCTTTGCTATTGCTTTACTGCCACCTTTGTGGAGTGGGGCTATGTCTGTTGTTTTTAGTAACTGTGGGACGACCCCCGTGTCCATGCTCCCTCTCCATAGGATGGCAAAAGCTCGTGATAGGGGTTTCTTGCAGTTCTTGATGAACACAGAGTTCCATGAGTCTGGCCCTGGGGCAGAGTGCATGGGCATGTCATTTATCGCCTGTTCGAAGTCATTTGGCGTCAGGATAACATCGGATAGGCTTGTGTTAACCAAATTCCGTGGTTCTCTCATAAAAAATTCATTTTGATCTTCGACTCTCAGTCTGGTTAGCGGCTTGCTAAAAACTGAGTCATATTGGGATTTGAGTAGCTCACTCATTTCCTTGCTGTCATCTATGTAGGACCCATCTTGTTTAAGTAGGGGTCCAATACGGGATGTTGTTCTCGACTTTGATTTGGCATAAGAAAAGAAATACTTTGGGTTTCTTTGGATTTCATTTATGGCTCTTAGTTCTTCCTGTGATTCCTGACTCCTATAAGATTCCTTTAGCTTAAGTTCGATGTTGCTATTTCTCTGACCAGTGACTCCTTACGCATTTCAGATATATTGGCCTCTTTTAGCCGCTCTGTTATTCTTTTCCTTCGCCTGAAAAGGGAGCGCCTGTCTCTTTCTATTTTACATCTACTCCTCCTTTTTCTTAAAGGAATAAGCCTTGAGCATACATCGAGTGCCACCGAGTTAATCTGTTCTAGGCATAAGTTGGGGTCTGTGTTGCTTAGTATATCTTCCCAGCTTATATCGGTTAGGACTTGATTTACTTGGTCCCACTTTATGTTTGTTATTGAAGTTGAATTTGGTGAATGCTCCCTCGTGACTAATCTCATTTTGTCGGTCTGGGGCTCCACGCATACATGTCTGAACCTCAATTATGTTGTGATCTGAGTATATTGTTTTTGATATGGTGACATTTCGTATCAGATCATCATTGTTAGTGAAGACGAGGTCTAGTGTATTCTCCAGTCTAGTAGGCTCTATTATTTGCTGGTTTAAGTTGAATTTTGTGCAGAGATTTAAAAGCTCGTGTGTGAGTGTGAGTTTTCATCAGAGCTGCCTCCTGGTGTTATTACTGCAACAATATTATTTGCTATATTCCTCCATTTTAGGTGCCTTAAGTTGAAATCCCCCAGGAGCAAGATGTTGGGTGCAGGAGCTGGCAGATTTTCCAGACAGTGGTCAATTTTTGACAGCTGTTCCTGGAATTGCTGGGACGTTGCATCCGGAGGCTTGTAGACTACCACAATGACTAGGTTTTGGTTCTCGACCTTTACTGCTAAAACTTCCACTACATTATTTGAGGCATTAAGCAGTTCTGTGCAAACAAGTGACTCTGCAATGTACAGGCCAACCCCCCCCCCTTTTGCCTGTTCACTCTGTCACATCTGTATAGGTTGTAACCTGGGATCCATATTTCGTTGTCCAAGTGATCCTTTATGTGGGTCTCAGTGAAAGCCACGAACATTGCCTTTGCCTCTGCAAGCAGTCCACGGATGAAAGGTATTTTGTTGTTCGTTGCTGGCTTTAGACCCTGTATATTTGCAAAGAAGAATGTCATCAGACTTGGTTCGGTATGGATGCAAACGTTAAGGAGTGTTTCCTTAATATATCTGCTGTCCCTGTTCAAATAGCAGTAAAATGGGTACCTGGGTGTTAATGGACCGGTGTGGGTGGCATCCTGGGGACAAAATTAACGTAGGTTGCGGGAAATGCTCTGCATAACAAGTGGCTTTCTATATAATAGTATGTCACTGACGTTAGCTATGGTCTGTATAAGTTATATCATGTACTTGTAGAATTAAAGATTATTATTATTATTATTATTATTATTATTATTATTATTATTATTATTATTATTATTATTATTATTACTTGTAAAAATAAAGATTATTATTATTATTCTTAAGTCTCAATATTTCTGTAATAATCAAAGAGGTTTGAGACAGGTTCGGGAGTTTTAAAATACAATAACAGGTTCGGGAGTTTTAAAATACAATAACAGGTTCGGGAGTTTAAAAATACAATAACAGGTTCGGGAGTTTTAAAATACAATAACAGGTTCGGGAGTTTAAAAATACAATAACAGGTTCGGGAGTTTAAAAATACAATAACAGGTTCGGGAGTTTTAAAATACAATAACAGGTTCGAAAGTTTTAAAATACAATAACAGGTTCGAAAGTTTTAAAATACAATAACAGGTTCGGGAGTTTAAAAATACAATAACAGGTTCGGGAGTTTAAAAATACAATAACAGGTTCGGGAGTTTAAAAATACAATAATAGGTTCGGGAGTTTAAAAATACAATAACAGGTTCGGGAGTTTAAAAATACAATAACAGGTTCGGGAGTTTAAAAATACAATAACAGGTTCGGGAGTTTTAAAATACAATAACAGGTTCGAAAGTTTTAAAATACAATAACAGGTTCGAAAGTTTTAAAATACAATAACAGGTTCGAAAGTTTTAAAATACAATAACAGGTTCGAAAGTTTTAAAATACAATAACAGGTTCGAAAGTTTTAAAATACAATAACAGGTTCGGAAGTTTTAAAATACAATAACAGGTTCGAAAGTTTTAAAATACAATAACAGGTTCGGAAGTTTTAAAATACAATAACAGGTTCGAAAGTTTTAAAATACAATAACAGGTTCGAAAGTTTTTAAAATACAATAACAGGTTCGAAAGTTTTAAAATACAATAACAGGTTCGAAAGTTTTAAAATACAATAACAGGTTCGAAAGTTTTAAAATACAATAACAGGTTCGGGAGTTTTAAAATACAATAACAGGTTCGAAAGTTTTAAAATACAATAACAGGTTCGGGAGTTTTAAAATACAATAACAGGTTCGGGAGTTTTAAAATACAATAACAGGTTCGAGAGTTTTAAAATGCAATAACAGGTTCGGGAGTTTTAAAATACAATAACAGGTTCGAGAGTTTTAAAATGCAATAACAGGTTCGGGAGTTTTAAAATGCAATAACAGGTTCGGGAGTTTTAAAATACAATAACAGGTTCGAGAGTTTTAAAATGCAATAACAGTTCGGGAGTTTTAAAATGCAATAACAGGTTTCGAGAGTTTAAAATAAGCAATAACAGGTTCGGGAGTTTTAAAATACAATAACAGGTTCGAGAGTTTTAAAATACAATAACAGGTTCGAGAGTTTTAAAATACAACAACAGGTTCGGGAGTTTTAAAATACAATAACAGGTTCGAGAGTTTTAAAATACAACAACAGGTTCGGGAGTTTTAAAATACAATAACAGGTTCGGGAGTTTTAAAATACAATAACAGGTTCGGGAGTTTTAAAATACAATAACTAATTCACTTTACTGGGGTAACCTAAAGTAATATATCTTATAAGTTTACGTAGGACTGTAGTAGAAATATAAACCCGTGAAATATACCAGAATAAACACTTAATAATCAACGAGAACAAACGGTGGACGTTATTAAGATATTTCAACATCTCCTGTATATCACCTCCTCTTCCGTTCCTTAAAACGCTTGGAAAATATTCGCTAGTATCAAGGTGGGGAAGATAGTGCCAATCTTTGAGCCGCTTTCAGCTTGATTACAGGTGATCCAGCAGCAGGAACTTCGTCCTTAAGACATCGGTGTGGATGTTGCATTGTTGCAACAGATAGCCGTGACGCTACGCTGAGTCACCAACCTCCAGCGGTACATGTATAAGCAGAAGCCGCTGTCAGCAGGACACAGTCGAGGCTCTGCTGGGAGATCCTACACACACAATCTAGCTGCTGAATACCACCTGTAAGTGTCCTCCTGCCTCACCTCCATAGTGTTAACCTGTTTTATCCCTGTGGCGAGTGTTATCCTGTGATGTGGCCTGGTCTCAGACCGGGCCGCGGGGGCGTTGGCCCCCGAAAATGTCTCCAGGTAAACTCCAGGTATGTGGCGAGTGTTATCCCGTGATGTGGCGAGTGCTATCCCGTGATGTGGTGAATATTATCCTGTGATGCGGCGAGTGTTATCCTGTGATGTGGAGAAATCGTAATAACACGATTGCAAACAAACCATACCACAGGTGGGTTAGAACCCGCGATCTGAAAAACTTAGAACTCCAGACCGACGCGTTAGCCACTGGACCAGCTGGCTACAATATTGTGGCTAGCTGGTCCAGTGGCTAAAGCGTCCGTCTGGAGTTCTAAGACTCTCAGATCGCGGGTTCTAACCCACCCGTGGCATGGTTTATCCTGTCTTGAGCATCCACCTTCGGTCTGTGTTGACAATCTCAACGTTGGAGACACTGGTGATGACGCTAAAATACTTCGATTTTGGTATATCATTCCATTAGGCTTTTCCATCCCGCTTATTTCTGTATCTCAAACTTTTTGAAAAAAAAAAAAAAAAGATATCAGTCTGATTTTCAGTGAATTTATCATCTGGAGTAACTAGTGTAGACTCGGTACACTGTCTGTGGATAGATTTTATGGAGGCACGAAGCCTAGTACGTACTGTGTTTAGAACACACACACACACACCACACACACACACACACACACAGGTATGATAAAGCTCACGGTTCAGGGAGAGTGACCTAGTAGCGATCAGTGAAGAGGCGGGGCCAGGAGCTCGGACTCGACCCCCGCAATCTCAACTAGGTGAGTACACACACACACACACACACACCAGGAGCTATGAATCGACCCTTGCAACCACAACTAGGTGAGTACACACACACACACACACACACACACACACACCAGGAGCTATGAATCGACCCTTGCAACCACAACTAGGTGAGTACACACACACACACACACACACACACACACACACACACACACACACACACCAGGAGCTATGAATCGACCCTTGCAACCACAACTAGGTGAGTCACACCACACACACACACACACACACACACACACACACACACCACACACACACACACACACACACACACACACACACACACACACACACATACACACACCAGGAGCTATGAATCGACCCTTGCAACCACAACTAGGTGAGTACCACCACACACACACACAACACACACACACACACACACACACACACCAGGAGCTATGAATCGACCCTTGCAACCACAACTAGGTGAGTACACACACACACACACACACACACACACACACACACACACACACATACACTGTACACCGTGTACGTTGGACCTATATTGGAGTATGCAGCACCAGTTTGGAACCCACACCTAGCCAAGCACGTAGGAAACTAGAAAAAGTGCAGAAGTTTGCAACAAGACTAGTCCCGGAGCTAAGGGGTATGTCCTACCAGGAGACGATACATTACAGTGCAATGTACCCACGTACAGTGAAAGCCAGAGTACAATATGTACTGTATTGTGTCTTACATGTGTATACAGTTGAAAAAAACAGTGAATAAGACTTGATATGCAGGTAGTGTACGTGGGGTGGGTGAGGGATGCTGTGGTGGGGTGGTAAGGGGTCAGGGTCCGTAGTGGAGGCTTGTGGTGGAGGGGGTGAGGGTTGTTGTTGATGGGGTGGGAGGGGGTGAGAGGGGTGATGGGGGAAGGGGTGAGAGGGTGGAGGAAGGTTGTGAAGGGAATATTTAATGGTGGCTGGAGGTAAGACTGCGTGCCTGCACTGTACTCAACCTAGCGCAGTGTACTCTCCTTACCGCATTGTACTCAGCTTAGCGCAGTGTACTCAACTTAGAGAAGTGTACTCACCTTAGCGCATTGTACTCAACTTACATCAGTGTGCTCACCTTAGCGCATTGTACTCAACTTAGCACGCTGTACTCAACGTAGCGCAGTGTACTAACCTTAGCACAGTGTACTCAGCGTAGTGTAGTGTGCGAATTAGCACGTTATTCCTAGTGCTTGTCTAATTAGTGCTTCGTGACTTCATTAGTCTAGTTAGATCGTCACTTGTATCATTGTTAGTGTCTTAGTACCTGGTACCTTTCTTTGTCGTGTGTGTTAGTCCCTGGTACCTTTCTTTGTCGTGTGTGTTAGTCCCTGGTACCTTTCTTTGTCGTGTGTGTTAGTCCCTGGTACCTTTCTTTGTCGAGTGTTAGTCCCTGGTACCTTTCTTTGTTGTGTTAGCCCCTAGTACCTTTCTTTGTTTTGTTAGTCCCTGGTATCTTTCTTTGTTGTATTAGTCCCAGGTACCTTCCTTTGTAATGTGTGTCCCTGGCACCTTTCTTTGTAGTGTGTGTGTGTCCCTGTCTTTATCGTGTGTGTTAGTCCCTGGTAACTTTCTTTGTGTTAGTCCCTGGTACCTTTCTTTGTGTTAGCCCCTGGTACCTTTGGTGTGTTAGTCCTTGGTACCTTTCTTAGTTGTGTTAGTCCCTGGTACCTTTGTTGTGTTAGTCCCTGGTACCTTTGTTGTGTTAGTCCCTGGTACCTTTGTTGTGTTAGTCCCTGGTACTTTTGTTGTGTTAGTCCCTGGTACCTTTGTTGTGTTAGTCCCTGGTACCTTTGTTGTGTTAGTCCCTGGTACCTTTGTTGTGTTAGTCCCTGGTACCTTTGTTGTGTTAGTCAGTGGTACCTTTGTTTGTTGTGTTAGTCAGTGGTACCTTTGTTAGTATATGTAGGTCATGCACACGGTTAAGCAGTCAAGTATAATCCGAGGACAGGGAGAGTAGTAGCTCCAACTTCTTGGATCAAGAACTGTTCATCACTACCAAAGTTAAAAGTTGAAAAATTCAATATATTTGCGTTCAGTGACCCAAAGTGAACGAAGCTAAGTGGAACTGTGGGAGTGTTTTCTGGTCTTGCAATAGTTTGGTACAAGTGGCTTAAAGTGAAGCCACTTGCACAGTGACAAACTTGGACGAACTTAAGATGTGCGTACTTACTAAGCTGCTCTCTGCTCGTTCACTTCATATCTGTCAGTGATACACTCAGTTTGCTATCATTCACTGAGTTCACTCATTCAACATTGCACTCACGTTGCAAAGGGCGACCCATGAAAGCTGGGGTATCTAAATGCATGCAATCATGCGCTGGAACGGCAGTTCAGCGCATGTATATATATATATATATATATATAATTATAATATATATATATATATATATATATATATATATATATATATAATATATATAAATTCCTTAAGGAGCTGGGAAAAAGACTCATCAGGGTAACTAGGGATCCAGGCAGCTAGTTTTCTGTTCCAGCGGCTCAGTGCGGCTGTTCAAAGGGTAATGCCTGCTGTATTTTGGGCACACGCCCCAGCTCTGAGGAGCTGGATGAGATTTTCGCCTTATAATCGGTGATACACACGTAACAACATGTACCGTATGTGCCACCTTATATCAATAGTGTATCTCTTGGATCTTCTGTACCATATTATGTAATAAAATATTCCTATATATATATATATATATATATATATATATATATATATATATATATATATATATATATATATATATATATATATATATATATTCTGTAGTGTTGTGCAATTCGTAGTGTTCCCAGGATCAGTCTACACAAATGCAATATTAATGTCATCGTCTACCCTTTTCCGGTGAGGAAATGACGACACCGATGCTAGTTCTATGGCATTCTTTTGCTTGGTATAAACTAGCATCCTAGGGTAGAGAATAGGCTGGTCCTGGAGTAACTAGTGTAGACTCGGTACATTATTCGGGGAGAGATTTAATGGAGGCACGAAGCCTAGTACTGTGTTAACGAACACACACACACACACGACACACACACACACACACACACACACACACACACACACACACACACACACACACACACACACAACCATACACACACATACACACACACACACACACACACACACACACACACACACACACACACACACACACACACACACACGAACATACACACACACATACACACACATATATACACTGTACAATGTGTACCTTAGACCTATATTGGAGTATGCAGCAGCAGTTTGGAACCCACATCTAGCCAAGAACGTAACGACACTAGAGAAAGTGCAAAGGTTTGCAACAAGACTAGTCCCGGAGCTAAGGGGTATGTCCTACGAGGAGAGGTTAAGGGAATTCGACTTGACGGCACTGGAAGACAGGAGAGATAGGGGGGATATGATAACGACATATAAAATACTGAGAGGAATCGACAAGGTGGACAGGGACAGGATGTTCCTGAGATGTGACACAGCAACAAGGTGTCACAGTTGGAAGTTGAAGACTCAGATGAGTCAAAGGGATGTTAGGAAGTATTTCTTCAGTCATAGAGTTGTCAGGAAGTGGAATAGCCTAGAAAGTGACGTAGTGGAGGCAGGAACCACATATTGTTTTAAGACGAGGTATGATAAAGCTCATGGAGCAGGAAGAGGACCTAGTAGCAATCAGTGAAGAGGAGGGGCCAGGAGCTATGAATCGACCCCTGCAACCACAAATAGGTGAGCGCACACACACACATACACACACACACACACACACACACACACACACACACACACACACACACACACACAGGGGTCAGTCCTAGGACCTATGCTGTTCTTGGTATACGTGAACGACATAATGGAAGGGATAGACTCAGAAGTGTCCTTGTTTGCAGATGATGTGAAGTTAATGAGAAGAATCAAATCGGATGAGGATCAGGCAGGACTACAAAGAGACCTGGACAGGCTACAAGCCTGGTCCAGCAACTGGCTCCTTGAATTTAACCCTGCCAAATGCAAAGTCATGAAGATTGGGGAAGGGCAAAGAAGACCGCAGACACAATATAGTTTAGATGGCCAAAGACTGCAAACCTCACTCAAGGAAAAAGATCTGGGGGTGAGTATAACACCGAGCATATCTCCTGAGGCGCACATCAATCAGATAACTGCTGCAGCATACGGGCGCCTGGCAAACCTACGGATAGCGTTCCGATACCTCAGTAAGGATTCGTTTAAGACTCTGTATACCATCTAC